TAATTTTTTTTCATTTCCTCATTCGCCTCATCAATAATGGGGACAGGCTGTAGTAAAGTTGGTTAGAGTGTAGGAATCTTTACATGACATCATGTCAAACAATAGTTATTGTGGGTTCTAATATCAGTCGGCTTGTGAAAGTCTGGTAATCTTGAATAATCAAGAGTTAAACCTTTTGAGGAAGGGCTGTTTCAGAGTCGGTTAAAGCTTTGTATGTCAAGCAAATGGTGGCTGTGGGTTCTAATCTCGGTTTCTGGAAGCCTTGAGACCTTGAATAAGTCATCTTTCCTCATTATTTCAGTCAACCCAGATGTAAATGGGTACAGATAATCCGGGAAAGATCAATACCAAGAGGTTTGACCAAGGACCAACTGGTAGAAAGGATCCTTGTGAACCTAAGTTGTTATTCTTGTAAAATCATTACCAAGAGGTTTGACCAAGGATCAGCTGGTAGAAAGAATCCTTGTGAACCTAAGTTATTATCCTTGTAAAATCATTACCAAGAGGTTTGGTCGATCACCAGCTGGTAGAAAGGATCCTCGTGAACCTAAGTTGTTATTCTTGTAAAATCAATACCAAGAGGTTTGGCCAAGGATCAGCTGGTAGAAAGGATCCTTGTGAACCTAAGTTGATATTCTTGTAAAATCAATACCAAGAGGATTGACCAAGGACCAGCTGGTAGAAAGGATCCTTGTAAACCTAAGTTGTTATCCTTGTAAAATCATTACCAAAAGGTTTGACCAAGGATCAGCTGGTAGAAAGGATCCTTGTGAACCTAAGTTGTTATCCTTGTAAAATCAATACCAAGAGGTTTGTCCAAGGATCAGCTGGTAGAAAGGATCCTCGTGAACCTAAGTTGTTATCCTTGTAAAATCATTACCAAGAGGTTTGACCAAAGACCAGCTGGTAGAAAGGATCCTCGTGAACCTAAGTTGTTATCCTTGTAAAATCAATACCAAGAGGTTTGACCAAGGACCAGCTGGTAGAAAGGATCCTCGTGAACCTAAGTTATCCTTGTAAAATCATTACCAAGAGGTTTGACCAAAGACCAGCTGGTAGAAAGGATCCTTGTGAACCTAATTTATTATCCTTGTAAAATCATTACCAAGAGGTTTGGTCAAGGACCAGCTGGTAGAAAGGATCCTTGTGAACCTAAGTTATTATCCTTGTAAAATCATTACCAAAAGAGGTTTGACCAAGGACCAGCTGGTAGAAAGGATCCTTGTGAACCTAAGTTGTTATCCTTGTAAAATCATTACCAAGAGGTTTGACCAAGGACCAGCTGGTAGAAAGGATCCTCGTGAATCTAAGTTGTTGACCTTGTAAAATATAGTTGTTTACATGTTCTTCCTTGTATATAATTTCGATCTAAAAACAACAGCTAATGATCAATGGTCATCCGACGCCAATTGATAAATTTAATAGATAATAAGTCAATTCCATTATCTTTCAGACATTACAACTCAATAGGATTTAGGGCCTAAAGTTTGTAAAAAATCTATAGAATGAGGTAAGCGGACTAAAGCTCAATTAATCCGTATTGAAGACAAGTTATGTGACTTACTAGTAGTAGATGTATTTACCAGACATTTTATTATAACTCTGGGATTTCACTCCACTTTATATCTTTAAAGGTGCTATTCCACATAGCTGGTATATATCCCCTCAAATTGGCCAATATTTAACAATTAAACGTTGGTCTCACTAGCATTATTGGTGTGTAAACACAATTGATCACATGACAAACTGAATAAATGACGAAGTCAATTGCGTTTACACACCAATAATGTTAGTGAGACCAACGTTTAATTCTTATATTTATATTCAGATACTTTTATTAATACAATTTTCACTGTTTTATATGATCAGTTATTTGAATTTACCACAAATCTTAGATTACGTCATTATTGTGTTTTGATGACGTCATAGTATCACGTGATAAACTACAGTTTATAGAAAAATAAACACCAGTTTGTGTAACTGGTTCATTGAAGAGAGTGATAGTAGAAATGTTAATATTTTCACTTGTAAGTTCTTATTTCAATGGTTTGTTTTGTAAATTTTTACACATGCACACAAAAAAGCGACAGATGCACCATATTTTTGACCAATCATACTTTAGTCTCAGAAACAGGAATTTTTTTAGCTAAGCTAATCAGTAATAGTGTTCACTGCTCACTGTCAAAATTTGAGACTTCAAATCCACGTGTGTCCAGAATTATCTACGTTTGAAAGTTAAAAAGACGACTAGTCTTTTCTTGAGACTCTGTGATATATAGAAAAGACATCTATAGAAATAGTGAGTAAAATTCCTAGTTTGAGATATTTTTAAAGGAATTATGTGATTTTGGTACATTTCTAGTATTTCTGAAGACTATTTACATATATTCAAGACTCAAATCAACCAAGTCAAGGACCATGTATAGTGTATTGTTGTATTTTTAAAGGAATTATGTGATTTTGGTACATTTCTAGTATTTCTGAAGACTATTTACATATATTCAAAACTCAAATCAACACCCCAAAATGGCAAACCTGTACCTTTAACAGACGTCTATGTGGGATAAATTCTTTAATTAAACTTTGATGAAATTTGCTATTGTAATTTGAATATAAATGGCATCAAATCTATATGGGATAGCAACTTTAATAAATGAATTCCCTGTACAGTCTACAGATTGATTTATTTCTGTACACAACTCAATATTTGTCATTTTCAAATCTCCACAGACTGAATTATACCCACATTATTCTGTTTTTAATAAAATAAAGAAAACACTCTGTTATATCTACTAGTCAATCAAGGATATATATCTACATTGGGATATCAGACAGCAACAGTAAGAAACAAGATTATTTTACAAAGATAATAACTTAGGTTCATAAAGATCGTTCTACTAGCTTGGTCAAACCTCTTGGTATTG